CATGACCTGAGCGGGGAGAAAGGTTATACGTTCTGGCCAGCACGAGTGGCTTCCTGGGAGAGCCTCTCCCTCCTCCTTTCCTGCCCTCCTTCAGCATAAATAGCCCAGGCCACAGCCCACTCCCTTGGCATTGGCTAGAGGGGAATTTTCTAAAGGATGAAGTTCCTGGGAAATGTCCACCCTTTTCCCTTTTGTCTATGACAAAAGCGCTGCTAATGGATCCTGCTTGACTTGGGAGTCTTAGCTGGAGGTGCCTGGGGTCAGAACTAGTTGGACTGGAACATGGAGATGCTGACCTCCCTTCTGGTGACGGTCCCTGTCTGCTCTCTGTCATCACTCAGCCTTATCATTTCTTCCCCAGCGGGAGGGCATGACCTGCTTTTAAGGCTCTAGAGCCAGGAGTGAGGCATTCCTGAGTGGAACTTCTGAGAAGAGCCAGCCCACCAGACTCTGGGGAAAGACCCAGAAAATGGGAGCTGTGGGCCTTGCTGGCAGCGGCGGCAGGAACAGGCCCGGCTTTCTCATCAGATCTGGGCATGCCTGCAGACTCAGCCTATCCCCACAATGTTGACTGAGGTTTCCGGGGTCCCATTTCCCATCAGGGCTTCCCAGCCTGACTAATGTGCCATGAGGGAGGAGCTAGGCTGCCCTAGCTGGCCAGGGTCCCATCTTCAGACAAGGTCCTGAGGCCTGGAGGAGTGTAGCCTCCCAGCGCCCATGGAGGGCTAACCCTGAGGCAAACTGAAGTCCCCGCCACACCAACCAGTTCTAAGAGACCTGGAAAGGCCTCCCTCTGGCATATGGAAGGGCCACCTTGTGTTCCCAGAGGGAGAGGAAGCAGGTAAGGCAGGAAGTGCAGCCTTGGCCCAACCTCCCTCTCCTGCCTCCTGGAAGGGAAGACAAAGCACCATGCCTCTGAGGTGCCAGCCAGGACAGGAGCAGGCTTGCTAAGTTCAGGAATTGGTCACACTGCAAAGGAAGCAGGAAGTGCAGCTCTCACAGGGGCCCTTGTCTTGTGGGGAAGGGCCCCCTCACTTGTGTACCCCTGCACCCCTCTTGGGCCTGCCCCTGTTCTCCCAGCTGCTGGCGGTTTAGATGGAGAGACTCAGGGTCTCCCTGCTCCCAGCCACAGAGTCCCCAGTTTCTAATGAGGTTTTGTTCCTCTGGCCTTCACAGAGAGAGGAGTCTGGTGGCAGGGTGGGGAACTCCTTACCCATTGTTTGGACAGGACTGGACTGGACCTTTTCGCACCTCTGAAACCAAGAGCCCTGGGGAAGTGCAGGGAGGAGATGGAAGTGTGGGCGTTTCCCATGCTAATAATGAAGGCTTCTTTTCAGAATCCCTACTGGGAACCCAGCTTTGGCCAAGCCCCCCCAGATCCTCCAAGGGAGGGGCTCTGCACAGCCACCAATCTCCTTAAATTGGGTCAGTGTCTTCCTTAAAGGGCTTCCCCTCACTTAGACCCAACTGCAGGGAACACCCACAAATGCAAGGAAGACTGTACTCAGCCTCCAGGCAGTGGCAGGTTTCATTTTTTTTCCCTTTGGAAAAAAACAGCTTACACTATGTGGTTTAACGGGGCTTTTCTCTAGGACTGCCATTTCCTACTCACTAACCACCCAAACACTAGGAATAGTTTTCCTGGGATTCCCCTCCCCCCACTCCCTGCCCCCTGCAGTTTCACTTATGGGAATCAGCATAAGAAACAAGTTGTGAAACCAGTAAGTCTCCACTGCCTGGTGGAGGTCCACTGACAGATTTCCTCCCTGGTATTCCTCCAGGGCATTCCTTAGATCTCAGACCCTCACCACCCCTCCTCCTAGGAGGGGAAGTTCTGCAGCCTCTGCCATACAAGCAGACGCCCCCAAGAGCCCATGGGTGGGGCAGGCCACTGAGCTGTGCCTCCAGGGACTGGGAGTGAAAGGTCTGAGAGGGACAGGCTCCCTCCCAGGCGCCTGCACATTCTCCCTCGCAAAGAGCCCAGGGTGCCTTTGATGGCCCTGATAACCCTTGCTTGTTTTCTTCGGCATCCCTGCCACCTCTAAGCATTAGCTTGCCCTCTGAAAGAGGGGCCTCAGCTTCCTTTTTTTTTTTTTTTTTTTTTTTTTTTTTTTTTTTTTTTTGAGACCATCTCTTGCTGGAGTGCAGTGGCACAGTTACAGCTCACTGCAGCTTCAACCTCCCAGGCTCAAGTGATCCTCCCGCCTAAGCCTCCCAAGTAACTGGGACTACAGGTTACCACCATGCGGGATAACTTTTTGGTTTTGTCTTTTGTAGAGATGGGGGTCTCTCTATGTTGCCCAGGCTAGTCTCAAACTCCTGAGTCACAGCCTCCCAGAGTGCTGGGATTACAGGTGTGAGCCACCTTGCCCAGCCTGGGTCTCAACTACTTTTCATGGCCAAGTCCTGCTCCCTTACCCCACACCCACCCCAAACCCAGTTAGGTTCAGGGAATTACAATTGGCAGTATCTTGTTAAAAAAAATTGTTTTAAACTAACTTTCATTGTATTCCCACTGTATGAGTACACACATGGTAGAGAAATAAAGGCCAGGCACGGTGGCTTACGTCTGTAATCCCAGCACTTTGGGAGGCTGAGGCAGGCAGATCACCTGAGGTTGGGAGTTCGAGACCAGCCTGACCAACATAGAGAAACCCCGTCTCTACTAATAATACAAAAAAAATTAGCCAGGTATGGTGGTGGGGGTCTGTAATCTTAGCTACTCAGGAGGCTGAGGCAGAAGAATCGCTTGAACCCGGGAGGCAGAGGTTGCAGTGAGCCAAGATCACACCATTGCACTCCAGCCTGGGCAACAAGAGTGAAACTCCGTTTTTTAAAAAAAAAAAAAAAAAAAAAAAAGGAAGAATCTTAAAAAGGGAAAAAGGAAGATAAGGATACCCTGCAATCCTTTCTCCCAGACAGAGCCAATTTTCATACTACCTAGTACTGTCCAGCACACCAGTGTGGCCACATTCTATCACCTGCCTTCCCCAGACCCTCCCAGCCTGTCCCCACAACTCTGCCCCCAGGTCGCTCCCACCGCCTTGCACCTGCACTGGCCTCTTTCTGGAAGCACCCTCAGGGTATGTCATTAGCCACCTTCTGCCTGCACAGGGCCATCTTTGCCTCAAATCCTACTGTCCCTTTGAGGCCCACTTTAGCTTAGTCACTTCCTCCCTGAAGCCTCTAAGTTGTACTCTCCCATCCCCCAAGATCCCTGGAAGGGCCTTTTCTCCTTCTGGTCTATGCAGAAGCAGAGGTACGGCATTTCCTGACCAAATGGCTGCTCTCCTGAAGTATCTTTCTCCCTCTGATGTCTGAGTTTGTCTTACGTCGCCGTTTATCAGTCTAGGCACAGTGTCTGGCACGCAGGCCAGAACCTGCTTTATGCCAGGGGGGTGGTGAGCTGTTGCAGGACTGCAGAGGGCTGGGCGGAGTCCTGAAGGCAAGGCCAGGTTGGAGGGAGGGGGCGCTGAGGGAGCCAGCAGTGCACCACCAGCAAGCCAGACTAGCAAGCAAGGCAGCTGCAGGCACCCGGCAGGCAGCGGGAGCTGGGCTTCAGAGACGCTGGGTCTTCCCCACCCCAGAGCAGCTCTCCTGGAGGCATGCCTCAGTTTCCCCCACCATGTCTTCTCTGCCTGCCATGTGCAGGGCTGCCCGGTCAGCCTGTGGAGTCAGGCCAGCTGTGGGCCTTAGCTGTTGTGTTGAAGAACTGGCTGGGGTCCCAGGCAGGGTGGGCACTGCTGATGGGAGCCCCAGGTGGCCTCCAACCTCAGGATTTTACATGGTGTTATTTGGGTTAAAGAAATCAGTTGATGATACTAACTCTGATGCCCTCAGAAGTGGTCTGACTTCTGTCCTGAGGAGACTCCTGGGCCTGTGCAAAGAAGCTTGGGCCATTGCTAGGGCACCACCTGCCACCCTGGGAGGGCAGAGGGTGATAAGGGCAGGGGAAGCTGGGGCACAGGGGCTGTGGGCTGGCTCTCAGCTCCAGCCCATTCTCACCTGCCGACATCTCTAGAGCCTCTCCCATTCCTGCTCCTCCTTGGGGATGGTCATCTGCCACCGATCCTAGACATGAAGAAAGAGCTGAGAGGACGAGGCAGCAGGGGCCTCTGTGGAGGGGCACACCTGTGGGCAGTAGTTGGGAATCCAGAGCGGGCTGTGTCCCTTCAGGAGCCTCACTCCCTCAGACACTCCCCATGGCTTGGTTTCTTCAAACAGCAAGCACGTGTCCCATAATCAATTGGGTACCAAGAGAGTCCAGGGGTGCCTCAACATCACATTGTTCTCAGGCCAGATGGAGCAGGCCTGCATCCTGTTTTCACTGCTAGGAGTGTGCAGTTGGCAGGAATGAGGGTGGAGGCGAGGTGTGCATACGCTCAGCCAAAACCATCTCCCATCAGCTCCCGTCTCTTTACCTGCCTCCTCGAGTCAGCAAGGCAACTGTCCAGGCAGGCTGCATCTGTGTTGGTACAGGTGGCATTCTGCCAAGGGGTAAGCCGAGTCCAGGAGCTGTGGGGCCATGGGCCACATCCCCCCAGAGGAGACTCCCTCCCTTTGCTGTTTGCACAGAGGCACCCTGGCCACAGTGCCTATGGTAAGGTCGGCCCAGGAAACAGAGACCGCAGAGGTCAGAGTGGATGAGCCCCTCTCCGCCGAAGGTGCCCTCTGCTGCCCCAGCACAAGGCTGGGGGACAGTGTGCATTTCTGGATGGTTGACTCCTCCTGTTTCTGGAGGAAGGTAGGACAGCCCTTCATCAGAGGCCAGGCTAGGAGTGCCTGCCGGGGAGTCATAGCTCCAAGTGACTTCGGGCCTAGAGCCTGGCTCACCCAGGCCCCCTTGAAGATGCCTCCCTGGAAATTGTCACTGAAAGCCTAGGCGTGGGCTGAGCCCCTGCCCTGGCCCAATGCGCCTGACAGCAGTGTGCAGGTGGAGGGCCTGCCATGCCGCCCTGGGCAGAGTTAGAGAAGCAGTTCTCCCTGTGCTCTTCCTCCAGGCCTGCTACCTGTGCCACAGCCTCCTGACGCTGGCCGGGGTGGTGGTCAGCTGCCAGGACATCTCTCCAGACCAGTGGGTGAGTCTCCCAAGGGGTGGGGCTGGGGTGGGGTGCCCAGCTGTGTCTCCTCCCTGAAAGTAGCATGGGGTTGGCTGAGATGGCACCCAGCCCACTGTTAGGAACTGCAGAGAGTGGGAGGCTGAGAGGGAAGCCAGCCTGGGGGAGCCAGGGCCTCTTCCTCCCCGTGGTGTCCCACCAGCTGAGCCATTCCCAAGGGACACTGACCCAAGCCCTAGCAGTTGTGCTGGCCCCGTCCTCCTTTTCCTGCTCAACTTCTGAGCAGTCATTCAAATGTGCCCCTTCCTTTCTCTGAATTTGTTCTCTTCCTGCCCCGCTTTGGATGCGCCTGGCCTGGGCTGCACCCGGCCCTCGGCCTCCCTCCACCTCCACAGGGCGAGCTGCAGCTGCTGTGCATGCAGTTGGACCGCCACATCAGCACGAAGATCCGGGAGAGCCCCCAGGCCATGCACCGCACCATGCTCAAGGACCTGGCTACCCAAACCTACATCCGTTGGCAGGAGCTGCTGACCCACTGCCAGCCCCAGGTGGTGTCCCCTCCAGCCCCCAGACCTGGGAGGGACGGGAAGCGGTCAGGCAGGGCTGGCCAGAGCCAGCAGCAATTCCACCCCCACTGCAGCTGCTGAGCTCTTGGCAGGGACATGGATGGAGTGGGCATGTGGGGGAAGGGTGGGAGCACCTTGGGGTGCGTTCATCATTCTTATAAAGAATCCAGTGCCAAAGGCCAGGCACGTTGCTCTTGCCTGTAATCCCAGCACTTTGGGAAGCCAAGGAGGGCAGATCACAAGGTCAGGAGTTCTAGACCAGCCTGGCCAACATGGTAAAACCCTGTCTCTACTAAAGATACAAAAAATTAGCTGGGCATGGTGGTATGCACCTATAATCCTAGCTACTTGGGAGGCTGAGGCAGGAGAATCCCTTGAACCTGGGAGGTGGAGGTTGCAGTGAGCCGAAATCACTTCAACCTGGGCAACAGGGCAAGACTCTGTCTAAAAAAAAAAAAAAAAAAAAAAATGCAGTGCCCAGGGTGGGTGTGGAGGGAGTGGAGGGAAGGGGACCCAGAGAAGTGTAGTCCTCAAGAAATGCAAAGAAAAACTGCCATGGAGGGCCGGACGCGGTGGCTCACGCCTGTAATCCCAGCACTTTGGGAGGCCGAGGAGGGTGGATCACGAGGTCAAGAGATCGAGACCATCTTGACCAACATGGTGAAACCCCATCTCTACTAAAAATGCAAAAAATTAGCCGGACGTGGTGGCACATGCCTGTAATCCCAGCTACTTGGGAGGCTAAGACAGGAGAATTGCCTGAACCCAGGAGGTGGAGGTTGCGGTGAGCCGAGATCGCGCCATTGCACTCCAGCCTGCGTAACAAGAGCGAAACTCCGTCTCAAAAAAAAAAAAAGAAAAACTGCCATGGAGAGGGAACCGTCTGGACCCAGAGTGCCATTCTGTTATGAGCAGTGCCAGGAAGGGGCCCCAGCTGTCGGCCTTCTGCTCACCTGTGCTGTGGGCCTGAGGCTGGCCTCCTACTGTGTTAGGAGGAAGGCTGGTAGGTTTCCATGGTCCTCTCCACTGCACCTCACACCCCCACCGAGTTTCCTCAGAGCCTCTAGATGTGATATTCACAACTAGTATTTATTTTTTGTTGGGGGGACAGAGTCTCACCCTGTCACCACGCTGGAGTGCGGTGGCTCAACTACAGGTGTGCGTCACCACACACAGCTAATTTTTGTATTTTTAGTAGAGATGGGGTTTTGTATTTTTAGTAGACCATGTTGGCCAGGATGATCTCGATCTCTTGACCTCGTGATCTGCCCACCTCAGCCTCCCAAAGTGCTGGGATTACAGGTGTGAGCCACTATGCCCGGCCCACAGCATTTCTTGAATGAAGATCCATTTCTATAAGAACCCACACAACCCTCATAAGGCAGGTGTTGTCAGGAGCCCATTTTACAGATAAGCAGGCCCCGAGAGGCTCAGTGGCTTTCCCCATCGTGTAGGCAGCTTGTGTGAATGTCAGAATCAGGGCATAAGCCAGCCTGACTCTGAAGCCTCTGACCTAACCAGCTCCAGCCCCTGTGCTGGTGCCCTCCCTTCTGGCCCCTTCTCTCCAACAAGCAGGTGGGCCAGCTTAGGGTCTCCTCCCTTCCTGAGCCCCCAGCCCTCCATGGAGGAGCATAGGACTTGGTGAGGGCCACCCCCCACCCCACCACCAGTGCCCCTCCGCTTCCAACCTGCCTCTCCTCAGACTCCTGTCTCATCCTTCCCCTATAACCTCTGACTTAGGGCTGACACATTGGCCACAGGCTGCGGTTTGGGTCTCATATTTCACCAAGTCTCTGAGAAAGCTGAGGAGTGAACCTCACCCTCACTCCCCAAGGAACTAGATCTCACCAGCCTCTGGTGGGAGTAGTGTGCTTGTCATGAGAAGAGGGAAAAGTGATTCAGAGCCTGGTAGAGGGGCCGTGGCAGACCACTTATACAGTTACATAGCCTGTTGACTGCTGTGTTCCCGCCAGGACTATGAACCCAGCATCCTGCTCACTTGGCACCTGGCATGTGATAAGTGCTGAGTGGACACCACCAGTCCGGGGAGCTACAAGGCAGTAGGCAGCACCTGGGCCCAGGCCCTTACAGCCTGCTTCCCTCCTTGCCACAGGCCCAGTACTGCAAGTGCTGGAAAGATCTGAAGAAGCAGGGTCAGGACAGCCCAGGGCTCCTGGCTCCAGCAGGAAGTGAATAGACTCAAGGAACTGGAAGAAGCAAAGAATCAAGGCCAGAGGAGGCCACATGCTGACCAGCCTGATGAAGCAAAAGCCGGCCACCGCCCCTGACCTGCGCTCCTCTTGGCAAGGGATGGGCCTCTGCCTGGCCCACCCCTCAGGCTTCCCTCCTCCTAGCCATCTCCTCTTCCCTAAGGCCTATGTCTCCATAGCTCTGGTTTCCCTGGGCCTCAGTCCTCCCCACCCTCCTTCCTCTCTCTCCCTGTCACTAATGTGAGGTTTCTTTGTGCACATTAAAGTCTTCTTTCAGCATCAGTGGTTTAGAAGACTTCCTTCAGTCCCTGTCCCGAGGGCTTGTGCCAACGTCCAGTCCCCTGATGCCTCTGCCTGTGTTCTGCTGGGTTCTCAGCTAGACAGTTACAGCACTGGGGCCCAGGCCCCGCCTGCAGCAGAGGGCTATCTGCAAGTCCCCAGGGAGGGGCATTGTTCCCTGCAGCCCACTGTGGCCCAAGAGCTGTCAGAAACCCAGGAACTGGACGTCTGTTTGGACCCAGTCTGGGACGGCTCCCCATTCCCCACCCCTGCTGAGGAGGACGCACAGAGTGAGATGTGGATCAGGGCTGTAATTACACTTAATTCCATTTAGTGCTGAGCTCTGAAATCAACTCCCCAGCCTCAGGAGTGGGGGCGGTTCAGAAGACACTTGGAGATGCTGTTTTTTGCTTTTCCTCTGGCTTGCCGCAGATGAGTTCATGGGACCTGATCCCTAATGGGGTGCTGGGTATCTTTGACCTGAATGAACCCCTTGAGAAGAGAGTGATCTCTTTGGACTCCAGGATGCCACTGGGTATCTACTTTGCCCACTCCTCTAACCCTGAGAATCCACGGTTAGTCCCTGGCGCCTCCTGACTGTTCCTGGGTGTGGATGGGGGTTTGCAGGGTACACAAGAGGTAGCTAGGCAGTGGCAGAGGATTGCCCTTGCCACTGGACTGTGCCCACTCCTCAACTCAACCCTGGCTGTCTGCCAAAGTGACTTCCCCATGGCGGCTGCGTACAACTCTGCTTTCATACATCCGTCTCTTTGGCTTTCATGTATGGGGATGGGGTGACCAGGCTAACTAGGAGAGAGACTCCCCTAAAATAAAGGACTTTCAGGCCAAGTAGCTCAATGTGCAGAGCCAAAGTGGAGCTCATCGCTTCCTGGGCCTGTTTCAGACACAGCTGCCCCCCTCAGCGTCCCCAGAATGCTAGGAGCTGGAGGCATCTATTATCCAGGGGCACAAGCACATGCAGGGCACAGTGCTGGGTACCACACAGGACGCCTTTCTGCCTAGCAGCCTTTGCCAAATGTGAGATGGAAGAAACCCTCGGCCAGGGTGCCTTCGATGCCAGGCAACCTGCGTGAGAGTTCTGGTTTCTCTTCCTGGCTGTGTCACGTGCCCTGTTGGCCAGGGGAACTACCAAAGCCCCAGCAGCAACAAGTCAGCCTCAGATCCTCCAATGAACTAGTGGAGACTGGTGAGCCAGCCTTCTTCACCTGCCCTCAGGGCTGCCTTGTGACCACACCAACACTACAGGCACGCATTGACAGTTCATCTGTAGCTATTCACTTTTCCCTGGAAACCTGGAAATCACCTTTGAAATTTCCCTTCTTTGTTTTTACTGCCAAGGGCAAAGAGGAAGTCGGGAGGCCAGAGAAGCTAAACCCCGGAGTTTCCAGTTTTCGAAGGTAGCCCTACCTGGCTCTGAAAAGGAGCTGAGCTGTCCATCAGCGTCGACAACTGGAGCCTTCTTCCCCAGTCCTGGCTGTTGTCCACTGACCCTCCTCTCCTACTCCCCAAACATACCCATCCCCAAGAGAGAAATAGATACCCAGGGGAGAGGAGGTGTCAGTGACGACTCAGTTCCTCCAGAGACCTGGCTGTAACCTGAGCAGAGGTGTGCACTGCAAGGTCGCCCAAGGGCACATGCTGTCCTTTGGGGTGTGTAATGGGCCCTCTCTAGGACTGGCTGGGAGCTGACCAGATCTTCTAAAACTAGTCTGGGATCAGTTAGAGATTCAGCCTCCCCAAGGCCAGATTTCCACAGTGGTGCTGGTAGTGTGACCACTTGCTCTCCAGATCTTTGACTTTTCCAAATCCCTAAGCCCTTGGGAAAAGGCTGGGGGATATCCTGATAGGAGCCACTGGAAAATCCGCATCCGGGGCTGTGATGACGGATGTTTTCCTGCTTCCTTTTGGTACTGGTGACAGGGAGGGGCTGGGAAGGGAAAGGAGTTCCAGGTGGGCAGTTTTGATAACTCTCCTTTGGAGGAAGTAGGGAGGGAGAGTCCTTTTCCCATGTCCCCAGTCACCTCGGTCCCCAGGCGCTCAGAAAGACCCTTGAAGGGTAGCTGACCCAAGCTTTCTCACTTCCTCATCTATGAGTTGACGGCAGTCCTGGCTGCCTTGGCAACCCACCAGGCACTGTCAGAGAACCCAGTGTGCACCCCGGGCCTCCCTCCTGCTGCCTAAGGAGTGCTGGCAGGTGAGTAGCTCAAGTGAAGGGCACTGTGACCCACAACCAACATCAAGAGATGGGGAAGGGGACTGGCTCTTCAGGAAAGACTCCTAGGTCTGGCCTGAGCTGCTAGGGGATCCTTGGAGACTCTTGAGAGGCGGTTAGCACCATTTCTTTGTCTTTCCTTGATTTGACCACAAGCAGTTGTCAAGACCTGAGTCCTAAAGGGTGGAATACCTTCCATAGAATTTACCAGGCCCTATGGAGACTAGCAAGGTACATGCACTTCCCACCTCCCCACCCCACCCCTATACCTGTATTAGTAATTTTTTTCTTAATTGAAGACCCAGAAATCCTTTTTTTCTACCAGTTGTACTTTCATTTAGAAGTATGCATCATGAGCAAACAGTCATGCAGGAAACTGTATCCTCTGGCCGCCCACCCACAGAAAGGGCCAGTGCTGGAATGGACAGAATATAGCAGAAGGTGCATGAAGGTGGAAAAGGGGAGGGAGCTGGGAGCTTATCCCCAAGAGCATTTGGGAGGAAAGGCTAATGGACTCTGTTAGCTGGAGGCTTCTACATCCCTGGGCCTCCAGAACCCAAATGCCTGCCGCTGCCCTGCCAGTGAAACCAAACCGGTTGCCTTTTCAAACTTTCCACCTTGGAGTCAGAGCCAGGGAGCTCAGGTCTCTCTACCTGGTAACCTTCACACCTAGAGGTGAGGGGATGGGGGAGGAGTATTGAAGGGGAGGAGAAACAGCAGGAAATGGAGCACTGTCAGGATAGATGGTGACTTCGTGGAAACACAGAATTAGGAGTCCCAAGACCTGATTTAAAAATCTGATCTTTCCAGTCTGGGCAGCATAGTGTGATGGCATGCACCTGTAGTCTTGGGAGGCTGAGGTGGGAGAACCACTTGAGCCCAGAAGTTCCAGGTGACATTGTTTCTTTCTCTCTCTCTGTTTTGTTTTTTTTTTTTTTTTTTTTTCCTGAGACTACGTCCCATTGTCACCCAGGCTAGAGTGTAGTGGTGCAATCTCAGCTTACTGCAACCTCCGCATCCTGAGGTTCAAGTGATTCTTCTGCCTCAGCCTCTTGAGTAGCTGGGATTACTGGCGTGCACCACCCTGGCTAATTTTTGTATTTTTAGTAAAGACAGGGTTTCACCATGTTGGCCAGTCTGGTCTCAAACTCCAAACCTCAGATCCGCCCACCTCGGCCTCTCAAAGTGCTGGGATTACAGAAGGGAGCCATTGCACCCAGCCAAGACCCTGTTTCTTTCTTTTTTATTTTTAAAACCCTATTTCTAAAAAAAAAAAAAAAAAAAAAAAAATCTGACCTTTCTAATTATCTACATGACTTGGGCCAGTTGTTTAACCCTTCTGACAGATCTCCAAAAGGGGAGCAACAATACTTAATTTCCTTCTTTTGCGGAGGCAGGGTCTTGCTCTATAGCCTGGAGTGCAATGGCACAATCACTGCTTACTGCAGCCTCAACCTTCTGGACTCAAGCGACCCTCCCACCTCAGCCTCCACGTGCTTGCTACCATGCCCTGCTAGTTTTTTTTTGTTTTGTTTTGTTTTGTTTTGTTTTAATGTTGGGGCTGGGTGTGATGGCTAACGCCTGTAATCCCAACACTTAGGGAGGCTAAGGCGGGCAGATCACCTGAGGTCAGGAGTTTGAGACCTGCCTGACCAACATGGCGAAGTCCTATCTCTACTAAAAATACAAAAGATAGGTGGGCTACTGGGGAGGCTGAGGCAGGAGACTCGCTTGAACCCAGGAGGCAGAGGTTGCAGTGAGCCGAGATCATGCAACAACAGATCTGGTGACAGAGTGAGACTCTGTATAAAAAAAAAAAATTTTTTTTTTTTTTGTAGAGACAGGGTCTCAGTATGTTTCCTGGCTGATCTTGAACTCCTGGGCTCAAGTGATCCTCCCATCTCAGCCTCCCAAAACACTTACTTTTTAAAGGGTGATCATAGGGTGGAGTAAGAAAATGTCTATCAAGGCAAGTTGCAAAAGTCTAAAATACTGGACACAAGTGAGAGCACTCAGTTCCCTCCCCGCCATCCGCATGAATAGACATGGGGTCTCTAATCAGCACGAGGGATGGCACACCTTCTCCCTCCTTGTCAGCTGAAGCAGGAGGCCTTCCCTGCCCAGCCCATGGTCATTATTTCCAGCATCTCCAAGGCCACAGCTTTTTTTTTTTTTTTTTTTTTTTTTCCCCTAGTGGAAAAGAGCTGGGAAACGTGGCTTTGGCCAGCAAGGGAGAAGGGGCCTTTATGTGTACCAGCAAAGACCCAATTGTTACTGAAACCAAACTGGGCTGCTTTTCTCAATTATCTCCACTACTCTTCTGGTACCTACTTTTCAGATGCCAACCCAGAACAAAAGCTGCTGTCGGACTGATTTATGATCCAGATCTGCTGACGCGGCCTGAAGTGTTCCTCCCCTCCAGGACTGCACCTGGGCTTAAAGGTACCTCCAAGCCTCAGGGCCTCAAGTCCCTTCACCTCTGCCTTTTGCCCCTAGCCAGGAGGTAGCATCTATCTCCAGGTGCCCGTGGAGTGTCCTCCGTGAGGACCACCTCTTCTGACCACCTGCCCAGCTCAGAGGACCAGCTGGCAGAGAGGACGCTGCACTGCCCATGAGGCCAGAGCTACAAGTTGCTTCTAGGAGTGGCTGTGGGCGGAGGCTGGCCGTTCTGAAGGTGGCTGGCGGTGGTTCTGAAGCGTGGCTCCCCCCTACCCCTTTAATCTGAACAGTCAGGTTCATGCCACTTGTTAATTAGCTTTCGGTGGCACCAGGAGTCATTTTCTGGGGATAGGCACTTTGGCCGAAGTGTGAGAAGAAGGGGCAGATCCTCTCTGTTGATTTAAGGGTCTTCCTGGCTGGTGAAGCCCCTTCCAGACTTGAGGGCAGGGACCAGCGGTCCTCCGGGCTCAGAAGCGGGAAGAATTGGGAGCCAAAACGCAGACCCCTCTGGTCAGCCCCAAGAGAAGCCTCGGTTTCCCCAGTGCGCCTTCCCCGGCACTCGCCTCGAGGTGGCTCGCCCGCGTTCGTTCCTGCAACTGCAGGGTCGGGAGCCCCTCTCCCGAGCCCAGCCCGCCGGGGGTCTTCCGGGGACACTTCGGAAAGACCTGGTGAGTGTGATTACCCCGCGGCCATACCCAGAGTCCCTCCGCCGCCCCATCTCCCTCCGGGCACTGTGGCGCAGCCCGCGACTCCGAGCACTGGGGCGGCTGGGCACCCGGAGGGGCAGAGGTCCGAGCCCCGGGGCGGAGAACGGGCGGGTCCAAGGGTCGCAGCGGGTCGCAGCCCCCTCCTGAGCTAGCCTTCGCGTCCCGCCCCCGGCCTCCGCTGGACACCCCCCCAACCAGCCTGACGTCAAAGGGAAGGGGGCGGAGAACCGTGGTCGCGCTGGAGAAAGAGCAGGCGCCCGCCGAGGTGGCGCGGGGAGCCCGAGCCCAGGGGCGCGGAGCCGGGCGGGGACCGTGGGGCGGTGGCAAAGGGGCCGCGGAGGTCTGGCGGGCGCGCGCGGGCAGGGGCGGACCGCGGTCGGAGCCGAACGCGAGGGCGGCGCCCGGGGACTGGAGCTGCGCGCAAGAGGTAAGCGAGGCCGGGCTTGCGTGGGGCGGGGGACGCGGGGCCCCGGAGCCGCCGCTTTGTCCCTTTGCTCAGGCAGGGGCTGCGGGACGCGGGAGGGATAGGGGCTGGGGCGCAGGGAGCCGCGGCGGCGGAGACGGCTGTCCGCGGGGATCCTTCTTGCGCCCTCCGCGGCAACCTCGCGGGGTCTCGGGAGTGGGACGCACAGCGCCTGCAGCCTCACAGCCCCGGGGCCGGAGGGGCGCGCCAGCGAGGGGCCACGGGCAGTGAGGGTTCCTCGCGCGGTCCGGTCCGCAGCCGGGATCCTCGCCAGGCTCCTGGACTGCCCTCGGCACTCCCACCCCTATGGAAAGTTTGGGGCGGGCTTGGAGCAAGGCCGATGTTGTGGGATCGGATTTCCCTGCCGCGGCCCCCCGCCCGCCCGCCCGTTCCGCTGGGGAGGCGGGTTGTCCCGGAAAGCCAGGCCCCCGGGCCAAGCCGTCCCCAGCTTGAGCGCTCGCCCTGCAGGGAGCGCCGCCGTCCACGGCTGGCCCCTCCGGGTGGGCGAGGGTGCGGAGCGCCCCGCCTCGAGTCCGCACCCCTCCCCCAAGCCCCCCGGCTGCCCGTTTCCTCACCCTGTGGGGGAGTTGCGGGTGCGGGCACCGCTGCCCGGCGGATCCTCGGAGCACGCCACGGGGTGCGGCCCGAGTCTCGGGTAAGGAGCCGAGATGGGGCCGGGGGCGTTTTGCTGGGCTGGTTGGGGGCGCAGCCCCCACCACCCGCCCTCCCGCGCCGGGGCTCTGGGCCGACAGGGGGCGTCTGCAGGCCGGGCTCGCCACGCTCCCCGCGCCGACGCTTTGTTTGCGTTCAAATCCCTGGAGCTGGGGGAGGGGAGAACCTGGGGGGACCCGGGACGGTGTCTTGGCGGGGACCCTTTGTTTGGGGGTGAGAAGGTCCCTAGTTTCTGCGTCTCCGCCCCTGGCAAGGGAAGGCTGGAACTGAGGAAGCCAATCCCGCTGGCCCGCCCAGGCCAGGGTCCCTGGGGCGCAGTCCCCGAGTTGGGAAGGTTCGTCAGAGCCTCGGGAGCGCAGCGGGCGCCGGCCTTGCGCGACGCGTCGCCCGCGGCCTGGGAGGAACGCCCTCGGTCCCCGCCCCTGCCTCCCCCCGCCACCTGCCCGCGCCGCCAGAGTCCCCGATTCGACCCAAGCTCGGTCTCCCTGCCGCCCCTCCGCCAAAGGGCTGGTGTCTCGGAGGAGGCAGTGCGAGGACAGGATGAGGCCCCGGTCATTTCCACGCCCATCCCACCCACTTCCTGCCTCCCTCTTGGGCAACAAAGGGGCCTCGGGAAGCTGGGCCCCTTCGCTCCCGGCCTTGCTCCCACTCCTGCCCTGCTGATGTGGAACGGGGTTTGGGGTTCTGCCGAGCTATTGTCTGCGCTGGGGGAGGGGACAGACCGGGACCGGGACCTCCGCTTGCTGCCATCCCTACCAGGTCCCTCTGTGGGGTTTTCCTGACCGCCTACCCCATCCCTTGCCCCTCGCCGCCCTAAGGAGTTTTCCTCCCAGAATTGGGTGTCGGGGGTGGTGGGGAGGCGCCGGAGCCCCAGTGGCTGCAAGGCCTGCTGCTTGAGGTTCTTTTAAGAAACTCAAACCTCTTAGTCCTGAGGGTGTGTGTTGGGGGGTCACCTTATTATTTATCAAATTACTTCCTGTCGGGAAGGGGGAGTGGGGGCTCTGGAGGCCAGGGAGGGCTTCCCAGAGCCTACTTAGCCTTCAGCTGACTCAGCTCCTCCCTGCTTCCCAGGGAGGCTTGTGGTCTTTTAGGGGCTGAGAGGGCAGGGGCCAAGTGTGGGGACTTAGGTCCACCTCTGAAGAGAAGAGGAAGAAGGGCACCCGGGGCTCCTGGAGAGGCTTGATGAGGAGTCCTGTGGCCTCTCCTGCTGCGGGCCCCTCTGGTTTGCTTTCTCTGGCCCGAATTCTGACCATTTCTTTTCCCTCAGCAGGACGGCTGGCCTGGAGCTCAGAGCCAGGGTGTGTGCCATGGCCCCACATTGGGCTGTCTGGCTGCTGGCAGCAGGGCTGTGGGGCCTGGGCATCGGGGCTGAGGTGTGGTGGAACCTTGTGCCGCGGAAAACAGTGTTTTCTGGGGGTGAGTGCCTGGAGGGGTGTGGAGGAAGGTGGGGACAGGCTGCTGAGAAGTTGCCCCCATAGTGTGCTGGCTTTATTCTGATGTGTGTGGCACAGCTTTCTAAGAAACACGAGTGACCCCAGGGGCCCAGAACGGGCAGTGGAGGTTGGGACTTGTGATTAGCCTCCTCTGGAGGAGCTCTGTCCAATTCCCCACCCCAGACTGCCGGCCCAAGTGTGCGAGGGAGAGCCCTGTGCCTCACTTTCCCCTGCCTCTCTTCTTGAATTGTCACTAGTGCTGGGAGCCTAAAGAGAAACCAGAACCAGGATAGATATAAACTGGAGGCTTGCTCCCCAGGACCCCCTAAGACCTCCTCCTGCCAGGTACTCATCATGCCCTCTGGTGGCCCTGGAAGGGTGTGTGTATATGCAGGAGCTCACATGGTTGCCAGGGCACAGCAAGGACCTGTTAGTGCCCATGTGCACACACCTGTGTGAAAGGTGATGTCAGGTGTTTGTATCAGCTGTGCGCTCTGGGGACCTGGGATGAGCTCACCTCCCACAGGCTCCACTCAGGTGCCTATGAAGCCCTACCATGCCAGCCTGTGTCTGGATCCATTGTTGCCTCCAAAGACTAAGGCTGGTTTGGGGGGACCCTGAAGACAGGTCAGCAGCTATATTTGGCAGCTGATGTAGGAATCACGTGTCTATGTAAATGTCGTGGTGCCCTGGATGCTGGATGGCAGCAAGATTTCCCAGGCCCCAGCCCCATCTCCGGTCCCTGATCCTCTGGTTTCTCTGGACCTCCCTGGCCTGGATCACAGCCAGGCTCCCCTCCTTCCATCCCTGCCTGTCCTAGTGGCCTGCTGTGCTCATATCTCTGGCAGCCTGGATTGGGGTTCTGCTGGAGTGAAAGGTTTCCTGAGGTAGGGAGTACTCATAGCCATCTGTGGCTCCTGCCCTGCTGGACTCTGATAGAGGCAGTGGGCAGCAGGGCAAAGAAGGAAGCAGCGGGCAAGGAAGCGAGGGTGGGGTGGGGGTGCCAAGCCCTGTGGCTGGAGGTGCCATTGACCCTCAGAGCAAGAGCTCTGGCCGGAAGCTGTGGCAGAGATATCCTTCCTTCCTCCCAGCAGCCTGGATTTGCCTCCTCCCAGGCTGGGAAAGGCCAGGGAGGCCTGGGTGGAGCTGTCAGGGCCAAAGACTATTTCAAAAGTGTCCTTTGTCAGGGGGTTTGGCTGGCATCTGCTTATGGCATGGGGTGCTGGCTGTAGTGTGGGGAACTGGGGTATGAGGCCCAGGAGACTGTTACATGGAGGAAGACTGAGGGGTGTCTTGAGCCCCAGGAGCCCTGCCCATCAGCGGCCATGCTTACCCCTGCAGAACTGGCCACAGTGGTGCGGCGGTTCTCCCAGACGGGCATCCAGGACTTCCTGACACTGACGCTGACGGAGCAGACTGGGCTTCTGTACGTGGGGGCCCGTGAGGCCCTGTTTGCCTTCAGCATGGAGGCCCTGGAGCTGCAAGGAGCGGTGAGAGGTGGGGCAGCGGGAGGCAGTCAGGCCTTAAAGAGGGCAGAACTCAGAGGGCTTGTGCTTAGCCAGGTGGTCCCTCAGCCTGGCTGCCCCCACAAAAGTGCTGCTGGGCATCCAGGGCCTGCCCTCTGGTCGGGGTCAGCATGTGGCCTTCCTCTTCTCTCTGGCACCTACTGGATTCTATGTAGTGGGGCGGTTGGGGGCTTCTGTTCTGTACTGAAAGAAGCACCCAGAGAATGGAGACGTGCCTCTGCACTGGGTATCCCTGTGTTGCTGCTGCAGGCTGTGCTTGTGATGTGTGCTCAATCCATACCTGTGATGAGGCTGATGTCCTCTTTCCTGTCCTCAGATCTCCTGGGAGGCCCCCGTGGAGAAGAAGACTGAGTGTATGCAGAAAGGGAAGAACAACCAGGTGGGTGCTTGGACGCGGTTCCTGGTGCTGCCTTCGCCCCAGGGTGTCTCCGCCCATTTCCAGCCTTGGTGCTTTCACTAACCGGACTCCTTTCTGCCCCTAGACTGAGTGCTTCAACTTCATCCGCTTCCTGCAGCCCTACAATGCCTCCCACCTGTACGTCTGTGGCACCTATGCCTTCCAGCCCAAGTGCACCTACATTGTGAGTGCTGCCCTCTCCGCTTGGTGTCCCCAGCCCCCCTCCCTCCTCGCCCTTCTTTGGACTCTTGGATGTGGCCCAAAGGGCTCTGCTCTTGAGCATCTCCTCATCACCTCTCTCCCGGTTCCTAGGACATGCTCACCTTCACTTTGGAGCGTGGACAGATTGAGGATGGGAGGGGGAAGTGTCCCTATGACCCAGCTAAAGGCCACACTGGCCTCCTTGTGGGTGAGTGGCTGCCCCCCCCCCATGCAGGCTGGACGAGTCCTTGGGGCTTGGTTCCACTTTGGGCTGTGTTGGCCAGATGTGTCCATACCTCATGTGTGGCCTGGCTGACCTCTGTCTCCCATAGATGGTGAGCTGTACTCGGCCACACTCAACAACTTCCTGGGCACAGAGCCCATTATCCTGCGTAACATGGGGCCCCACCACCCTATGAAGACAGAGTACCTGGCCTTTTGGCTCAACGGTGAGCCCCCGGGCACCTGAGGGAGCTGTGGGTGGGAGGCTTCCTGAGGCCCAGCCCCTCCCTGCTGACCTCCTTCCCTTCCCACAGAACCTCACTTTGTAGGCTCTGCTTACATACCTGAGAGTGTGGGCAGCTTCACAGGGGACGACGACAAGGTCTACTTCTTCTTCAGGGAGAGGGCAGTGGAGTATGACTGCTATGCTGAGCAGGTGGTGGCTCGCGTGGCCCGTGTCTGCAAGGTATCGAGTCTCATAGCGGTGGGCCCTGGGAGCCCTGCTGGCCTGGCCGGGCTGACTGGCAATGTCCCCTTGCTGTCTGTCAGGGCGATATGGGGGGTGCACGGACCCTGCAGAAGAAGTGGACCACGTTCCTGAAGGCACGGCTGGCATGCTCTGCCCCAGACTGGCAGCTCTACTTCAACCAGCTGCAGGCAATGCACACCCTGCAGGACACCTCTTGGCATAACACCACCTTCTTTGGGGTTTTTAAGGCGCAATGGTGAGTTGGCCAGGCTCCTGCAGAGTGGGGAGGACCTGGGATTCAGGTCAGAGATGGTATATGGGTGAGAGCCTGGACCAGGCTTCGGGGGCAGTCCAGGAAGCCAGGTGTCCAGAAGCCAAGGGGAATGCTGGCACCTGCCCCTTTCAGAGCTGCCTGCAAAGGGGCAGAGCCCCACGCCAGGTTGTACTTTTGAGCTGCCAGTGCATTCTGGTGCCCATGGCCGGTTTTTGCCAGGCTCTGCCTTTCTGCTGCTTGCCCTGAGCTGGGGTGGGAAGGATAAAGTAGGTACCTGACCCTGGGGCTCCCTCTTGCTGCAACAGGGGTGACATGTACCTGTCGGCCGTCTGTGAGTATCAGTTGGAAGAGATCCAGCGGGTGTTTGAGGGCCCCTACAAGGAGTACCATGAGGAAGCCCAGAAGTGGGACCGCTATACCGACCCTGTGCCCAGCCCTCGGCCTGGCTCGGTGAGTGCCGGGGTAGGGATGCGTCTCCCCACCCAGCTGTGATGCCATCCCTTCCTGCTGATGGCTTGACCCCCACATCCTACCCCCAGTGCATCAATAACTGGCACCGGCACCACGGCTACACTAGCTCCCTGGAGCTACCCGACAACATCCTCAACTTCGTCAAGAAGCACCCGCTGTTGGAGGAGCAGGTGAGGCCTCGGTGGAGGCGCCCCCTGCTCGTGAAGAAGGGCACCAACTTCACCCATTTGGTGGCTGACCGGGTTACAGGGCTTGATGGAGCTACCTATACAGTGCTGTTCATTGGCACAGGTGGGTGCATGGGTATGCAGGCATGGCTACTCGAGACTGGGCGGAAGCCTGTGTGCCCAGGGCAAGGAGATCTGGAGCTGCCCCAGAGCCTTGTGCCCTCTCATTCATACCTTCCTTTCCCCTCTGCACCCCCCAGGAGACGGCTGGCTGCTCAAGGCCGTGAGCCTGGGGCCCTGGGTTCACCTGATTGAGGAGCTGCAGCTGTTTGACCAGGAGCCAATGAGAAGCCTGGTTCTGTCTCAGAGCAAGGTAGTAAGTTGGGCCCCATCTGCCACTGCCTCCAGCACTGTCCCATCTCACTCTGTCTGCCTCCCTCTCCCAGTTGGGCATATGTGCTTGACCAGTGCAGAGGTAGGGACACAGATAAGCATGCATGCACACCTTGCCTACCTTGGGGTGGGTTCCTGGAAACGAGAATGAAAACAGAACAGAGTCTGCGCTGCACAGGGCCATCATATATAGCCAGGTCGCGGGGCCAGGGGCCACACTCCCAGCATCAAGCCTTGGCAGCTGTTCCCATGTTTCCTTCAGACCCTCCATCCAAGCTTTGCTGTGGTTCTGGCTCTGGCCTCTTGCCTGACCATGCCCCTGTGACCAGACCTCCCAGGCTGTGAGATGTTTATGATGCCCTCACCATGGTGGTTTCCTTCCAGTCCCCAGTTGCTCTCTGGTCCCAACCCTCCATTTCTGTGACCATTTCCCTCAAGTGCTTGCATTATACCCTTGTGCAATAAATACTCTTTTTAAAAGGTTTTTTTTTCTGAGACAGAGTCTCACTCTGTCACCCAGGCTGGAGTGCGATGGTGTAATCTTCGCTCATGCAACCTCCACCTCCCAGGTTGAAGCTATTCTCCTACTTCAGCCTCCCATGTAACTGGGACTAGAGGCATGTGCCGCCAAACCCAGGTAATTTTTGTGTTTTTAGTACAGACAAGGTTTCACCATGTTGGCCAGGCTGGTCTTGAACTCCTGACCTCAAGTGATCCACCCAGCTCATCCTCCCAAAGTGCTGGGATTACAGGCATGAGCCGCTGTGCCCCACTGCCTTGTGAAATACTCTTGTTTCATGTTTGCCGCACCTCCTGAACTTTGATTTGTTTGCCTTTTACCAACTATTGTGAATCAAAATTGTCCCCCAGAACATGGAATAATGGCAGAAAGTGTGTGATTGAATAAACACACAGATCGGCATCCACCATTGAAATGGGAAAACACCTTATGTTCTACTGCTGCTGTTGAGGGCTCATGGGCCTTGGGAGAAATGTATTTCCTGCACTAAGTGTGTGAGTGAGTGTGATTCTACTTTTTGGCCTCGCAGCCCCATCATCCTTTTCTAATCAGGTCACATCTGTAAGGGGCTTAGGATTGCGCCTGGCCTGTGTAAGCCCTCTGAGTTCTGTGGTTCTTAGATTTCCCTCTTCAGCACTATAGCTCTGCCTTGTTCCTCCTCCTGCCACCCCATCCTGTGCCCCCTGTAGAAGTCAAAGCTGCCCCCACGCTGCGTTCTGGTCCCGCTGCCCCTCCTGCGGTGTGGCCCTGGCTGACCCCCGCCTCCTGCGCCCCGCTTCTCTCGCAGAAGCTGCTCTTTGCTGGCTCCCGCTCTCAGCTGGTGCAGCTGCCCCTGGCCAACTGCATGAAGTACCGGTCCTGTGCAGACTGTGTCCTCGCCCGAGACCCCTATTGCGCCTGGAGCGTCAACACCAGCCGCTGTGTGGCCGTGGATGGCCACTCTGGGTGAGTCGGGCTCTGCATAGGCCAGGACCAGGAGGGACTCAGGGTGGTGGGAGCCAGGCTGCTGATGTACCCTACATTCCCTACCAGTTCCCTGCTGATCCAGCATGTCATGATCTCGGACACCTCAGGCGTCTGTAACCTCCGTGGCAGTAAGAAAGGTGAGCTTTTATATTGCCCTTGCATTGGGCTGTGCCCTGGGCCAGAGCCAGAGTTTCTGTTCTCCTCTTCCCCAGACCTGGTTTCCTGCACTAACCCTCACTCTCTTTTCTCCGCCACTACAGTCAGGCCTACTCCCAAAAACATCACGGTGGTGGCAGGCACAGACCTGGTGCTGCCCTGCCACCTCTCCTCCAACTTGGCCCGTGCACGCTGGACCTTTGGGGGCCGGGACCTGCCTGCGGAACATCCCGGCTCCTTCCTCTACGATGCCCGGCTCCAGGCCCTAGTTGTGATGGCCGCCCAGCCCCGCCACGCTGGGGCCTACCACTGCTTTTCGGAGGAACAGGGGGAGCGGCTGGCTGCTGAAGGCTACCTTGTGGCTGTTGTGGCAGGTCCATCAGTGACCTTGGAGGCCCGGGCTCCCCTGGAAAATCTGGGGCTGGTGTGGCTGGCGGTGGTGGCCCTGGGAGCCGTGTGCCTGGTGCTGCTGCTGCTGGTGCTGTCACTGCGCCGGCGGCTGCGGGAAGAGCTGGAGAAAGGGGCCAAGGCTGCTGAGAGGACCCTGGTGTACCCTCTGGAGCTGCCCAAGGAGCCCACCAGTCCTCCCTTCCGGCCCTGTCCTGAACCAGATGAGAAACTTTGGGATCCTGTCGGTTACTACTATTCAGATGGCTCCCTTAAGATAGTGCCTGGGCATGCCCGGTGCCAGCCTGGTGGGGGGCCCCCTTCACCACCTCCAGGCATCCCAGGCCAGCCTCTGCCTTCTCCAACTCGGCTTCACCTGGGGGGTGGGCGGAACTCTAATGCCAATGGTTACGTACGCTTACAACTAGGAGGGGAGGACCGGGGAGGGCTCGGGCACCCCCTGCCCGAGCTTGCGGATGAACTGAGACGCAAACTGCAGCAACGCCAGACACTGCCCGACTCCAACCCCGAGGAGTCATCAGTATGAGGGGAACCCCCACCGCGTCAGCGGCAAGCGTGGGAGGTGCAGCTCCTACTTTTGCACAGGCACCAGCTACCTCAGGGACATGGCACGGGCGCCTGCTCTGTCTGGGACAGACACTGCCCAGCACCCACCCGGCCATGAGGACCTGCTCTGCTCAGCACGGGCACTGCCACTTGGTGTGGCTCACCAGGGCACCAGCCTCGCAGAAGGCATCTTCCTCCTCTCTGTGAATCACGGACACGCGGGACCCCAGCCGCCAAAACTTTTTAAGGCAGAAGTTTCAAGATGTGGGTGTGTTTGTCTGTATTTGCACGTGTGTTTGTGTGTATGTGTGTGTGTGTGTGTGCACGTGTGTGCGTGCTGCAGCATAGCCTTCCTGTTTCTGTCAAGTCTTCCCTTGGCCTGGGTCCTCCTGGTGAGTCATTGGAGCTATGAAGGGGAAGGGGTCGGATCACTTTGCCTCTCCTACCCCCACTGTCCCGAGTGTCGGGCAGCAGTGTACATATGGGGGTGGGCAGGGTGCTGTGCCCCTTCACGGGGAGTTCAGGGCTCGGGGTGGGCCTAGTCCTGCTCCTAGGGCTGTGAATGTTTTCAGGGTGGGGGGAGGGCGATGAAGCCTCCTGTGTGTTTGGGGGGAAGGGTGGGTTCAGTGGTATTTTATACTTGCCCTCTTCCTGTACAGGGCTGAGAAAGGCTGTGTGAGGGGAGAGAAGAAAGAGGGTGGGCCTGCTGTGGACATTGGCATACCCTCTTCCAGCCCTAGGAGGAGGGCCTCCTAACGGTGTAACTTATTGTGTCCCCGCGTATTTATTTGTTGTAAATATTTGAGTATTTTTATATTGACAAATAAAAATGGAGAAAATGAAACGATTACTGTGATGAGCTAAAGCCTTTCTGGGCTAAAACATTTGGGCTAAAACCTTTCTGGGTGCCAAGAGGGAAGGCTCTTTGGGTAAAGGGAAGCTGGACTGGGCCTCCCCCACAGTCCAGGGCAGCCACCTCTTTTGTGGTCTCTGCCTGTGGGAGAGGACAGCCCAGCTCCAGTGTTTTCCCACAGTGGTAGCTGTGGGGCTGGGAACCAGACATGGCCACAGCCCCTTGGGAGCCAGCCTTGGCTTCTGGCCAGAGGGAGAAGTCAGGGCACTGGGAGTCCAGGGGAGAGGTGGAGTGGGAGCGGGGGCGCCTTCCCAGAACTCAGGATGGTTAGTGGGAGTGAGGGGGCCAAAGGAGGGCAAGGTTGTGGAGATGGGAGAGTTGCTTGTGTAAGGATTCGGTTTTCAACCCACTTAGGAGAGGAGAAATGACGTCCAGCCTTCTACCCACCAGCAATGCTAGGGTCTTCAGGGCCCCAGCTAGGTGGGGAAGGAACTTAAACCCACACCCAGTGTGCACCAGACCACTGTCCTAGAGAGGGAGTGGCACAGAACCCCTCCCTGTAATTTATGCACCCTTTCTAAGCCTATCAGGCGGTGGAAGTGGAGTCTCCCCTGTACACTTAAATGTGGCTTCAGCAGGTGGCTGCCTAGGTTTTAACCGGGAATTGAGAAGGCTGGGGTCGGCTGAGGAGCACGTTGCGTGAGTGCACCGTCCGCAGACGGCCGCCCAGATGATGTTTTGATCAGGAAGACGGATTCAGTAAACTGTGGGGCCGTGGGGTTCTACACAAACCAAGGCCCTGTCCGTACCCTGGAGGTGGAGCCAGAGGCAGGACAAGTTGTGGCCACCTGCTCCTTGCTGGACTTTTTTTTTTTTTTTTTCCAGACGGAGTTTCACTCTTGTTACCCAGGCTGGAGTGCAATTGCGCCATCTCGGCTCACCACAACCTCCGCCTCCTGGGTTCAGGCAATTCTGCCTCAGCCTCCTGCGTAGCTGGGATTACAGGCACGCGCCACCATGCAAAGCTAATGTTTTGTATTTTTAGTGGAGATGGGGTTTCACCATGTTGACCAGGATGGTCTCGATCTCTTGACCTTGTGATCCACCGGCCTCGGCCTCCCAAAGTGCTGGGATTACAGGCTTGAGCCACCGCGCCCGGCCCCTTGCTGGACTTTTAAGAAAGCAGAGTACAGGGTGATTCGAGGCCTTTCCAGCCGTCACTTTGCCACAGCCCCAGGGGCGGTCAGCCTTGGCCAGAGGTGGTCCCGGAAGAGGGGGTAAAGACCGGGGAGCGCAGCCGGGAGCCGTGGCTCACGCCTGCAATCCCAGCACTTTGGGAGGCCGAGGCAGGCGGATCACGAGGTTAAAAGATCGGAACCATTCCGGCGAACACGGTAAAACCCTGTCTCTACTAAAATACAAAAAAATTAGCCGGGCATGGTGGCGCGCGCCTGTAAGTCCCAGCTACTTGGGAAGCTGAGGCAGGAGAACTGCTGGAACCCGGGAGGTGGAAGTTGCAGTGAGCAGAGATCGCGCCACAGTATTCCAGCCTGGGGGACAGAGCCAGACTCCGTCTCAAAACGAAACAAAACAAAAGACCGTGGAGCGAGCCGGCGCCCCGGTCCTGGGGGCCCGGCGTGACTAGGGGCGGTAACAAGAGGAGCCTGCGAAGCCGCTGGAGGCCTGGGTCCTGGCGAAGGAAAACGGAAAACTCCCCACCGAACTCAGAGGCCTCATCTCCCCGACACCCTGCAAGGCCAGGCGGCGTTCTCGGAACGCAGCGCTTCCGCCTTCAGCTTAGCCTCGGACGCCCTCGCGCGGCTGCCTCGGGGTACAGCCCGGCGCAACAAGTCCCGCCCTCCCACTGCGATTGGGTCGCGAGCTAAGGCCTAGGCGTTTGATGGGTCAGCTTTGGCAAGGAGGCGGGACTAGGATGATAGCGAGGACGCCGAACGGCCAGATACTGGACGCGGGGCGGGCCTGAGATCCCGGGTCGGTTGGCTGGGGCGGGAGCCGGGATGGCGACGTCGAGGCCCTGCGCGGACGCGCCGTGCTGCCCGCATCCCAGCGCGGTGCTCGGTGTACAGCAGACGCTGGAGGAGATGGACTTCGAGAGGGGTGAGGCGGCCGCGTGGCCCTGCCGGCTCTTCCCAGGCTCTGGCCTAAGGAGGAGACGCCAGGTTAAGGAGGGGCGGGTGAACTGGGCCCTGAGAGCTTGGGGCCTGGTGAGAGACGGCGGGCGGGACTCGAGGCTTCCGCATCCTGAGAGCATACCAGGTGTCTCCCGCACGAGCTCTGTCCCGCGGTCGGCGGCGAAGCGGACGCCCTGGTTTCCGTAACCTTTCCGAGTGACGGGGGGCAGCCCTGCTTGGGAGACACAAATCTGCTTAGGTACTGGAGAGAGGGACCAGGGAGCAGAATCTGCAACTGGGGCATTGCGCCCATCCTGAGTGGCATGGAGCTGCAGGCCTGGGGGCTGCTTGGTGAAGGAGGACACTGGCCCTTGCTTAACCCCGGGTGCCAGGCAGCCTGCACGCTTTAGAGACAGCAAGAGCTTAGCACGGGCAGCCTTCAAGTCAGGGCACGGTATCTCATCTGTGGGACCCAGAGAGGTAACACCTTTGCCCCGAATTACACAGAGATTATGTTGCCAATAGGAACAGAGGAAGGCGGGAAACCAAGGTGCTTCTTCTGGGTGTTGGGAACCACTGTGCTACTGTGCTGTGTCATCTGTTCGTGCAGACGCAGCCAGTGCAGTAACAACAGTGCTGCCCTTGATTGCCACTGTTGTGTAAGCATTTGCATGGAACTCTTCCTTTACCATGGTTCTGGCACCTGCCTACTTCCCTCCACCTCTCCTACCACTGCCTTCTGCACTGCTTAAGTGGTTTCCTCAGAAGGCTTCCACGCTTGCCCTCCTACAGGGTTTTATACTCTCACACAGCAGCCAGAGTGGCTTTTTGAAAATGAGAAATCGCTGTGGCCAGGCGCAGTGGCTCATGCCTGTAATCCCAGCCCTTTCCGAAGCCGAGGTGGGCGGATCACCTGAGGTCAGGGGTTCTAGACCAACCTGATCAACATGAAGAAACTCTATCGCTACTAAATGATTTTTCCCTGGCCCCCTCCCCTACCATCTCTACTAAAAATACAAAAATTAGCTGGGCGTGGTGGCACATGCCCGTAATCCCAGCTACTTGGGAGGCTGAGGCAAGAGAATCACTTCAACCCAGGAGAGCCAGCCTGGGCAACAAGAGCGAAATTCCGTCTCAAAAAAAAAAGAAAGAAAAGAAAAAGAAAATGAGAACTCGGATCATTCCCTGTTATGGCTTACAGAGCTCTGTGGAGCCACTGCTGCTGGCTCTACTTCTCTCCCTCATTTTATTTCTTATGCTTTTCTTCTCCCAATCGCTATGCTGCAGCCACACTGGTCTTGTTTTGGTGTCTCAAATATGCAAGACCTTTTCCTGAATTAAGGCCATTGGACTTGCTGATGGACTTCCTACAACTGTTAAACTAGCTGATGTTATTTTTCAGATCCCAGCTCCAATGTTACTTCTTCAGAGGCCCTCCCTAAACACCCTGGTTCTCAACTGTGGGCAGTTCTGCCTTTTAAGGGACTTTGGCAGTGTCTGGAAACATTTTGGGTTGTCACAATCTGGAGGCTGCTACAGGCACGTAGTAGGTAGAGACGAGATGCGTTACACCTGGTACAATGCACAGGACAGCCCCCTATGGTAATCATCCAGCCTAGAAGGTCAATTGTGCTGTTGTTGAGAAGTAAACATTGCCTTATCCAAAGTTAGATGCTGGTTACCCTGATGTATCTATCATCTTGCTTTTTTTTTTTTTTTTTTTTTTTTTTTTGACAGAGTCTCCCTCTATTGCCCAGGCTGGAGTGCAGTGGCACAGTCTTGGCTCACGGCAACCTCTGCCTCCAGATGTTTGCTTGACCCTTATAGAGTTCACTTGCCTGGGTCAGCTTTTATGAAAGATCCAGATTATAATAGATTCTTAGCTTGGAGTTTTTGTTCTATAAAGGTACAGCTATCCTTCCCATACCTCCAATTTGCAGAGGTCAGGGTAGCTGGTTTTTCGCGTTTTTCTCTGCCTTACTATCTTCTCACACCTATTTGAATAGTACCTTTTCTCATGATCTTTAGGTTTCTCTTCTAAGGTTGCCTTATCAGAGGGGCCATCCCTGACCATTGCTCATTCCCTCCTATGGTTTTTCTTCAGAGCATTTAGCACCACCAGACTTACTATTATTTTTTTTTTTTGAGATGGAGTCTTGCTCTGTTGCCCAGACTGGAGTGCAGTGGTGCAATCTCCGCTCACAGCAACCTCCACCTCCTGGGTTCAAGCAATTCTATTTAAGCCTCCCAAGTAGCTGGGACTACAGGTACATGCCACTGTGCCTGGCTAATTTTTGTTTTTTTAATAGAGAGAGGTTTTGCCATGTTGGCCAGGCTGGTCTCGAACTACTGACCTCAGGTGATCCACCCACCTCAGTGTTCCAAATTGTTGGAATTACAGGTGTTAGCCATTGCGCCCAGCCCACCAGACTTATTTTATAAAATTTATAGGCTATATATGTGTGAAATTATAACAATTGTATATAAAATGTTTATATAGTATACATAAATATATAACAAATATATATGTATGTTTATTATATAATATAACAAATATATATGTATATTTGTTACATTTTATAATATATAGATGATATATATATTTGATGGTATATATAAAGAAATAGATATATTTGGTGTCTGTCTTCTTCAGTTAGAATGTAAGCTCTCTGAGGCCTAAAATTTGGGGTGGATCTTTTATTCTCTGTTGATTTCTAGTGCCTAGAACAGTGCCACACACACAGTAAGTAAAAACTTGCTGAATGAATGAATTACCTGGGCATGGCAGCTTGCTTTGCAAGGCAGGAGATAGAGACTGTCCAGCCCCAGTTTGTCATGCTAGGGCACTTCCCGCCTGCTGGCTTTTTGCACAGATCCTGCCATGTGTGTAGCAGCGGCTTTCACTCTAGACCCTGCCTGGGTGTTTGCACCAGAGTCCCTGAGCTGTGCGTGCAGCTCCGAGTGCACTTCAGATTCACAGCCTCAGTGACCTCTCACCACCGTAGCTATGGTTCTCACTTTGTGAAATTTCCTTTTATTGCTTTTGATTTTTTTTTTTTTTTTTTTTTTTTTTTGAGTTGGAGTTTCATTTTTGTCACCCAGGCTGGAGTGTAATGCATGATCTCAGCTCACTGCAACCTCTACCTCCTAGGTTCAAGTGATTCTCCCGCCTCAGCCTCCTGAGTAGCTGGGATTACAGGCATGTGCCACCACGCCTGGCTAAATTTGTATTTTTTTTTTTTTTTTTTTTGAGACGGAGTTTCACTCTTGTTGCCCAGGCTGGAGTGCAATGGTGCGATCTCGGCTCACCGCAACCTCTGCCTCCTGGGTTCAGGCAATTCTCCTGCCTCAGCCTCCTGAGTAGCTGGGATTACAGGCACGCACCACCATGCCCAGCTAATTTTTAGTATTTTTAGTAGAGACGGGGTTTCACCATGTTGACCAGGATGGTCTCGATCTCTTGACCTCGTGATCCACCCGCCTCGGCCTCCCAAAGTGCTGGGATTACAGGCTTGAGCCACCGCGCCCGGCCGGCTAAATTTGTATTTTTAGTAGAGACAGGCTTTCACCATCTTGGCCAGGCTGGTCTCAAACTCCTGACCTCAGGTGATCCACCTGCCTCAGTCTCCCAAAGTTCTGGGATTACAGGCATGAGCCATGCACCTGGCCTGAATTTCACTCTAGATCCAAACATTTTAAACATTACTTCATCCAGCACTTCTGTGTTTGAAGTGGGGTGGAGAGGTCTGTGTCTGCCCAGTCTTTCTGTCCTGAAGAGACATGCCCCTGTCTGTTTTGTTCATAGCTAAGTCACCAGCACCCAGAACAAACCTTGACACAGGGGAGTACTCAGTTGATATTTGTTGAAGGAATGAATATTCTCTATTTTATAGACAAGAAAACTGAGGTCAAGAGGCAAAGGAAGCTCTGAAACTCCCAATCATTCAGCATTATTCAGTGCTTTGGTTGATTTTCTGCAGGAATCTGGTCAGCAGCCCTGAATGGAGACTTGGGCCGAGTGAAACATTTAATCCAGAAGGCCGAGGACCCGAGTCAGCCTGACTCGGCTGGCTACACTGCGCTGGTGAGCTAGGGAGGAGCACGGGGTCGGGAGAGAAGTGTTAAGGCAGGAGACACCTGCTCTCTGAGGAGGGGGATTAATGTTTACCTTTTATCTTCTCCCTCCCTTTCTTCTCTTCCAGCAAAATTTCTGGATTTTTTTAAATTAGTGTGAGAGCTTTACAGCAATAATAATTTTTTTTTTTTTTTTTTTTTGGAGATAAAGTCTTGCTCTGCCACTCAGGCTGGAGTGCAGTGGCACGATCTTGGCCCACTGCAACCTCTGCTTCCCAGGTTCAAGTGATTCTTCTGCCTTAGCCTCGTGAATAGCTGGGACTATAGGCGTGCACCACCACGTCCAGCTAATTTTTGTATTTTTAGTAGAAATAGGGTTTTACCACATTGACCAGGCTGGTCTCCAACTCCTGACCTTAGGTGATCCGCCTGCCTTGGCCTCCCAAAGTGCTGGGATTACAAGCATGAGTCACTGTGGCCAGTGATTTAGTTTTATTTTCATAACAATTCTGTGAGATAGGAATGATGATTTTCCCCATTTTTCCATTGAACAAACCCAGTTTAGTTATGCAGAAGCTTGCCCAGGTCACATGACTGTTGGAGGTGGCACCTGAGATGACTCCAGGCCCCTCACTGCAGGGGGCCTTGCTCTCATCTCTCGACCACCCTTGTTGCCTGCCTGGCTTCTGCCATCTGACCTCGGTCTCTGTTCCCTGCAGCACTATGCAAGCCGCAATGGGCATTACGCTGTGTGTCAGTTCCTGCTGGAAAGCGGAGCTAATTGTGATGCTCAGACCCATGGGGGTGCCACTGCTCTGCACCGAGCCAGCTACTGCGGGCACACTGAAATTGCACGGCTCCTGCTGTCACATGGGTCCAACCCCAGGGTGGTGGATGACGATGGCATGACAAGTCTGCATAAGGTGGGCCCCTTCCCCCTTCCAAAAATGTTGTTTCCCATTTTTTAAAGTTATAACATGTTCATGTAGAAAACGGGAAAACAGGAAAGCAGAGATAAGACAATTAAAGTCATTTGTAATCCCCTTGCTCACCTGTCATCACTTTAGGACTAAAGATAATTCTCTAGCCTTTTTTCTGAGCATATAAATTACAATGTACAGTGGCACTTTGGTTTTCTTTCCCTTTGTGACATATCATGAAGCCTTTTCTATATAGTTTTCTGAAACTTATATATACTCTCGCCTGTCCCTGTAGTTCACTTGCTATATTAGGTGGAGTGATCATTTAATTAGACTCTTTCTTGCTGGAAATACCTGTGCATGGTAAACAATCTGAAGAGCATACAAGGGCATCCCACGAAAGCGAGCTTCCCTCCCACCCAACTCCTCATCCCTCAGTCTTCCTTGAGGCATTCACTTTACCAATTTTTTTTTTCTTTTTTTTAATGGGGAATGGGGTCTCACTGGATTGCCCAGGCTGGTCTCAAACTCCTGGCCTCAATCAATCCTCCTGCCTCTGCCTCCCTAAGTGCTGAGATTACAGGTGTGAGCCACCCTACTCGGCCACTTTACTGAGTTTGCAGGCATCTTTGAGAGGTGGTCTGTGCATATGCGGCATATGTGTATAAATCATTTGTGTGTGTAAATCATATGTGTAAATCTAGTCCTCTCTCGCCCCTTCTTTGATTTTCTCCCAGAGCAATGGTTTAAAGCAGTTCTGATCGTGCCATGCCTCGACTTGGAGTCCTTCAGAGGCTTGCTTTCTTCTGGTCCATGAATTATTTTGAAGGTTTCCTGGGGTTTGATCTTGCCCCCTTCTGCAGTTTTTTTTTCCTTGTCTTTTTTTCCCCCACCCTTTCAGTTTTCTCCCGAGCAGTTCCCTTGTCTCTTATACTCATAGGCCCTACTAATCATTCTTCTTTTCTCTTCTCTTTTTTTTTTGAGAAAGGGTTGCGCTCTGTCACTCAGGCTGGAGTACAGTGGCATGATTACAGCTCACTGCAGCCCCGACTTCCTGTGCTCAAGTGATCCTCCCACCTCAGGAGGCTAAGGTGGAACTACTAGGACTATAGGCATGCATCACCATGACTGGCTATTTATTTGTTTTTATTTTTTTATTTTTTGAGACAGAGTCTCACTTTTTCACCAAGGCTGGAGTACAAGTGCATGATCACAGCTTACTGTAGCCTCGACCTCCTGGGCTCAAGCAATGCTCCCATCTTACCCTCCCAAGTAGCTGGGACTACAGGCGCATGCCACCATACCTGGCTAATTTTTTTTTTTTTTGAGACGGAGTGTCGCTCTTGTTACCCAGACCGGAGTGCAATGGCGCGATCTCGGCTCACTGCAACCTCCGCCTCCTGGGTTCAGGCAATTCTCCTGCCTCAGCCTCCTGAGTAGCTGGGATTACAGGCACACGCCACCATGCCTAGCTAATTTTTGTATTTTTAGTAGAGACGGGGTTTCACCATGTTGACCAGGATGGTCTCGATCTCTTGACCTCGTGATCCACCCACCTCGGCCTCCCAAAGTGCTGGGATTACAGGCGTGAGCCACCGCGCCCGGCCGCTCCTGGCTAATTTTTGTAGAGATAGCTTCACCACATTGCCCAGGCTTTTAAAATTATTATTAGGAGTAGTAGAGACAGGGTCTCTCACTGTGTTGCCCAGGCTGTTCTCAACTCCTGGACCCAAGCTATCCTCCCAAAGTGCTGGGATTACAGGTGTGAGCTACCACATCCAGCCATTTTAATTTGCTTGAACCTACTACTCTGTCCTCCCAGAGCCATATATAACAAGCCATATATAACCCTGTCTGGGTGCCTCTCCCCTCCCGTTTTTTTATCTGGCTTTCTTCTGGATCTCAGCTTACACATCACACCCCATAGGAGCCTTTCTTGATCCGTAGACATGGTTAACTCACCTGGATGTATGCCTAACTGTATGTACCATGGACTCAACTTTTCTTAATTCTGGTACCTCTTGAAATTCCTGTTTGAGGGCTGCATGTCTCAGTAGAGACAGCTCGGGCTTTGTCTTGTTTAAATTGTTGCAGCCTGGCTGGGCTCGATGGCTCATGCCTGTAATCCCAGCACTTTGGGAGGCCAAGGCAGGCAGATTGCTTGAGTCTAGGAGTTTGAGACCAGACTGGGCAATAGGGCAAAACCCATTTCTACTAAAAATACAAAAATTAGCCAGGAATTCCAGCTACTTGGGAGACTGAGGCACAAGAATCACTTGAATCCCAGAGGTGGAGGCTACTGTGAGCCGAGATTGCACCACTGCACTCCAGCCTGGGCGACACAGAGAGAATCCATCTGAAAAAAACAAAAACAAAAACACATTGCAGCCTTAGCACTTAGCACAGGTGCCCAGTGAATAACGCTGAGTGAACAGCTCAATGTTGGGTTTTTAAAAAAATATTTGCCCTCAAAAAAAAAAAAAAGAAAAACAGCAAAGCCGTGTGCGGTGGCTCAAGCCTGTAATCCCAGCACTTTGGGAGACTTAGGCGGGTGGATCACGAGGTCAAGAGATCGAGACCATCCTGGTCAACATGGTGAAACCCCGTCTCTACTAAAAATTAGCTGGGCATGGTGGCGCACGCCTGTAATCCCAGCTACTCAGGAGGCTGAGGCAGGAGAATTGCCTGAACCCAGGAGGCGGAGGTTGCAGTGAGCCGAGATCGCGCCATCACACTCCAGACTGGGCAACAAGAGCGAAGCTCTGTCTCAAAAAAAAAAAAAAAAAAAAAAAGAAAAAAATATTTGCCAATTGGATAGACAGATTCTTTCTTTCTTTCTTTTTTTTTTTTTTTTGAGACGGAGTTTCGCTCTTGTTACCCAGGCTGGAGTGCGATGGCGTGATCTCGGCTCACCGCAACCTCCGCCTCCTGGGTTCAGGCAATTCTCCTGCCTCAGCCTCCCTAGTAGCTGGAACTACAGGCGTGCGCCACCATGCCCAGCTAATTTTTGTATTTTTAGTAGAGACGGGGTTTCACCATGTTGACCAGGATGGTCTTGAACTCTTGGGCTCAAGTGATCCACCTGCCTCGGCCTCCCAAAGTGCTGGGATTACAGGCGTGAGCCACCGCGCCCGGCGATTATTTATTTCTTAATGGTGTTGCTCAGGCATTTTTCTGTTAGAATTCACATGATGGATGTAAACAGCCAGGATGCTGCTGTGGGTATAGCTGGCTGGTGTTTCCCATAGTTAGGTGCATCTCCATCCCTTTTTCTCTCATGCAGATAATGCAAATGTGAGATATTTGAATTGTTTATTGTGTATGTTTTTGTTTTTGTTTTGTTTTGTGACAAGAGTCTCACTCTGTTGTCAGGCTGGAGTGCAGTGGTGCAATCTTGGCTCACTGCAACCTCCACCTCCCGAGCTCAGGCAATTCTCCTGCCTCAGCCTCCCAAGTAGCTGGAATTACAGGTATGTGCCACCACACCGGCTAATTTTTTGAATTTTTAGTAGAGACAGTTTCACCATGTTAGCCAGGCTGGTCTCGAACTCCTGACCTCAGGTCATCCACCCATCTTGGCCTCCCAAAGTGTTAGGATTACAGGTGTGAGCCACAGCACCCAGACTACGTATGTGTCTTTTAAAACTATTTGCAAACATTGGTGCTTTTTGTAAAAATTATTTTAGATGTATCTCACAACTGCTCACAATATCCCACTGCCTGAAGGCAGTGGAATTGAGAGCTTTGGGTCTGTACTCGTCAGGAGGAACAGCTGAGTAAAAATTTGGATTCAAATTTGGGATGGCGGTTGCCTCTAGTTTAATTTTGATACCTCTCAAAAGCCCCTGTAGTCTATCAATTTGTCTGTTGGGAGGAGTAGGAGATATAGTGGTTTACAGAGTTATTAAGAGTCCAGGCAAACCTGGTTTAGACTCCCATGTGGCCACATTAGCCCTGTGACTTTGGGCAAGCCACTTATTAAGCCTAAATTTCTTCATCTGTAAAATGGGAATAATGATAATTCTCGCCTGTGATGGCTATTGTGAAAGTTAAATAAGCTAATCTGTGTAAATCACTTAACTGTATTATTTTTTTGGAGGAGGTAGGTTAGAAATTGACATCCACACTAGGATCTTCTACCTTAAAAAAGAAGAAGAGAACAGACACCTGGGCCCCAGTCTTTCCCTGCCTGTCTAAAGGTTTCCTGGCCAGGCACTTTGGCTGATGCCTATAATCCCAGCACTTTGGGAGGCTGAGGTGGGAGGATTGCTTGAGTACAGGAGCTTGAGACCAGCTTGGGCAACATGGTGAGACCCTGTCTCTAATTTTTTTTTTTTTCTTTTTTTTTTTTTTTTTTTAAGAGGGAGTTTCACTCTTGTTACCCAGGCTGGAGTGCAATGGCGCGATCTCGGCTCACCACAACCTCCGCCTCCTGGGTTCAGGCAATTCTCCCGCCTCAGCCTCCTGAGTAGCTGGGATTACAGGCACGCGCCACCATGCCCAGCTAATTTTTTGTATTTTTAGTAGAGATGGGGTTTCACCATGTTGACCAGGATGGTCTCGATCTCTTGACCTCGTGATCCACCCGCCTCGGCCTCCCAAAGTGCTGGGATTACAGGCTTGAGCCACCACGTCCGGCCATTTTTCTTTTTTTTTTTTTTTGAGATGGAGTCTCATTCTGTCGCCCAAGCTGGAGTGCAGAGGCGTGATCTCGACTCACTGCAACCTCTGCCTCCTAGGTTCAAGCGATTCTCATGCTTCAGCCTCCTGAGTAGCTGGAATTACAAGTGCACACCACCACGCCCAGCTAATTTTTGTATTTTTAGTAGAGCTGGGGTTTCACCATGTTGCCAGGCCAGTCTCAAACTCCTGACCCCAAGTGATCTGCCCACCTCGGCCTCCCAAAGTGCTGAGATTATAGGCGTGAGCCATCACACCCAGCCCTGTCTCTATTTTTTAAAATCCAAAATAAATATATATATATTTTAAAGTTTAGCCAAGTGTACACAAGGTGCAGTGGCTGTAATCTCAGCTACTTGGGAGGCTGAGGCAGGAGGATCACTTGAGCCCAGGAATTGCAGACTGCAGTGAGCTATAATTGCACTATGAACTCCAGCCTGGGCAACAGAGTAAGACCCTGTCTCTAAAACATAAAGATAAAAATTTTTAAATATAAGAAAATAAAAGTTTCTAAAAGGTGGGTGCCGTGTCTGGTGCCTCCTGTGCCTACAAAGCACAACTCCCTGTAGGTGATGTGTGCAGGTTTGTGAGCGATGCCTGGAGATACAAGGTGCTGTACCTGTTTTTATTTTTTTAGGTATGTATGTACGCATTTATGTCTTTTTAAGATGGAGTTTTGCTCTTGTTGCCCAGGCTGGAATGCAATGGCATGATCTTGACTCATAGCAACCTCCACCTCCCGGGTTCAAGTGATTCCCCTGCCTCAGCCTCCCCAGTAGCAGGGATTACAGGCATGCACCACCACGCCTGGCTAATATTGTATTTTTAGTAGAGATGGGGTTTTTCCATGTAGGTCAGGCTGGTCTTGAACTCCCAACCTCAGGTGATCCACCCACCTCGGCCTCCCAAAGTGCTGGGATTATAAGCGTGAGCCACCGCGCCCGGCCTCGTTTTTAATGTGTAGGTCTGGCCAAAGACAAGAATGGCCAACCTGACAAAGGACACAAAGAAAAACTGAGGCTAACTGTGAGAATGGCACTGGGATACTCCACAAATATGTATAAAGTCATTGGGATTTGGTGGGAATTAAGAGAAATCTACTCAAACAGCTGTGTCTCTATTTCCATGAGGCCCCTTTTTTAGAAGGAAGAAGTCCCTGAAGGTGGAACAAGAAAGAGCAGAGCCCAATGTAGGGTATGCCCTTTGATTCCGGCCTCTCTCTCTGCAGGCTGCTGAGAGGGGTCACGGGGACATCTGCTCCCTCCTCCTGCAACACAGTCCAGCCCTGAAGGCCGTCCGGGACCGAAAGGCACGGCTAGCATGTGACCTGCTGCCCTGCAACAGTGACCTGCAGGACCTGCTATCCAGCTGAGCCGGCACCCTGTCTCCAGCTACCTTTCAAGGGTACACAGACCTGTTCTCCAAGCCCCTGCGTTGGTCAGCATCCATGCTACTGGGCGGGGAACTGAGGCCAGATGACCCGGGAAGAGCCCCAGTCTGGTCACTGTGGAAGCGAGGGAGTAGATTTGGTGTAACAAAGTATTTAAGCCTGGACAGATGATCATATTCTAAATTAGTTCATATGAGACATCTATTCATTTGGAAAAAAATAAAGTTATATCCTTACCTCATCCCACACACCAAAATAAATTACAAGATTAAAGATTTAAATATAAAAACACAAAACTATGTATTAGAAGAAAATAGGGACTATGTGACAAGCTGTTTTCTAGCTGAATGCCCTTGGTAAAAGTCCCTTTAGCTGTCTGCCCCTCCGTTTTCTCTTTTGCAATGAGAATGGTTATCATAGGACCTGCCTCAGAGTCATCGTGGGACGGGGTGAGTGTGCACTGAGTGAGCCCTCGAGAGAGTGCCTGGCACGTGGTAACCAGCCTCGGGGAGGCTCACTTCCCCAGCTCCTCATCAGCCCTTCATGCATGCCAGTTTTAGAAATGCTTCTTATTGATTCATAGGAGTGTTTATATTCTAGATCCTGATCCTTTGTTTTATATATGTACTTTTTCTTTTTTATTTGAGAGAACCAACTCCTCCCTGATAGGGAGTGGTTGAGTTCTGCAGACCCAAGTTCTCTGCCACACAGCAGAGCACAGCTTGCTGACAGGAGAGTGCTGCTTGTGTCCACAGTGGGACCCTCTTCACATAGGACACGCCTATAGAATGTGATTGCCTCTCAGCCTTTTGGCTAAGATCTAGTATAAATATATGGATCTATACGTGGAAGTAGGCCAGGTGCGGTGGTTCACGCCTGTAATCCCAGCACTTGGTAGACTGAGGAGGGAGGATCACCTCAGGTCAGGAGTTCAAGACCAGCCTGGCTAATTATGGTGAAACCCTGTCTCTACTAAAAATATAAATAGTAGCCAGGTGTGGTAGCGCATGCCTGTAATCCCATCTACTCAGGAGGCTGAAGCAGGAAAATTGGTTGAACCTGGGAGGTGGAGGTTTCAGTGAGCCAAGATCGTACCATTGCACTCCAGCCTGGGTAACAAGAGCAAAACTCCGTCTCAAAAAAAAAAAAACAAAAACAAAAACAAAAACAAGAAACATCTTTGTCTGAAAAAGCACCCTAAATTTAGCCTAATAATTGAGTTTTTGGCTGGGCACAGTGGTTCACACCTATAATCCCAGCACTTTTGGGAGACCAAAGCCAGCAGATCACTTGAGGTCAGGAGTTCAAGACCAGCCTGGCCAACACAGTAAAACCCAATTAAAAATACAAAAAAATTAGCTGGACATAGTGGCGGGTACCTGTAATCCCAGCTACTTGGGAGGCTAAAGCAAGAGAACTGCTTGAACCCAGGAGGCAGTGAGCTGAGGTCACACCACTGTACTCCCAGCCTGGGCAGCAGAGTGAGACTCTGTCTCAAAATTTAAAACAAAACAAAACAAAACTTGAGTTTTCTAAGAAAGCTCTGCCTTTCCTTGAGTTCTCTGAAAATGTGGAAGCCCTTCCCAGAGGCCAGCTCTGGGAGCTGGGCAGCCGTTTGGGACTTGCGACCGTCCTTGGCCACACTTCTCCCTGCTTGTGCCCTGGTCATCTCTGCTCAGGTTGCTCTGATTCTGGGGTCTTATTTACTGGCCAGCTGATTTCCTTGCAAAGGCCAAGGCGGAGTTTAAGGTCCAGCTGGGTGAAGGGTGTGCCTGGCTTCCTGAGGAGAATTAGGAAGGGTGATTGGTGGCTTGAGACACGTTGCTCTGTGGCTGAATTTCATGGTTACTATTCCATCCTGGGACCTAGCACAGATCAGTCTCCCCTTCCCTGTGGAGAGGCCTGTTCCTTCCCTGGAGGGCATCTGGTAGGAGCCTGTGGAAGGGCAGAAAGGACTTCCAGAGGCCTGAGGACAAACACCAGGCTTGGCTCTGGACCTGGGGTAGCTGCCATGGGCTCTCAGAGCGCTGGGGGAGGAGCAGGGGAGCTCAGGGGCACAGGGAAGGACATCCTTGAAACTGCAGGTTGAGAGGTCACAGTTTTCTTGTGTGGCCACCAAGAGGGCTGAGGCTATAGGCTGGCCGCTCCTGCCCTCCTGACCATCCCCTCAAGCCTCTGGCCTCCTTGCTCAGCCTCCCAGGCTGGGCTTTCAGGTTTGCAGGCAGACGGCCCTACAACATTGAGGCCCAGGCTGATCTTTCTTCACGAGTGGCATCTAAACTTAGGAGAGGGGGGACATGTTTCACCTGAATCTGGACTAGCAGATTGGTTAAATAGCCCGAGTAGGTGTGGGGCATGGCAGAGATGCGGGAGTGGGTGTCCGAGGATGTAGCCAGTTCAGCTCCAAACAGGTCTTTTTCCTGTCCCCAGTGGGCTGCGTTCCCAGACTGGTATTTTGGTTGGTGTGACAGAGTCCCAGAGTCATCTGGCCCAGGCACGAGTCTCTGGGCCAGTCCTTCCCTCCCCGCCCCCAGGTGCTCCTATAAAGGGCTAAGCAGCTCAGCTCTTCTCACTGGGGGGTGTGAGGAATAGGGGGGACCATGGACTTCCTCAGCATTCAGCAGTTGGTAAGGATGTGGGATGGAGGCGGGAGGCACCGCGGGTGCCACTGGTTTGGCAGGAAGAGGGTGTCTGGCTAGAGGAGCACTGGCAGCTTCTTTCTGTGGTGTGTGGTTCAAGTCTTGGGAGCAAGGACGCATGAAGTTCTTTTATAAAAATCTCTGTTTTTTGAAATGGAGTCTTGCTATGTTGCCCACGCTGGCCTTGAACTCCCAGGCTCAAGTGATCCACCTGGGTCTCCTGAGTAGCTGGGACTCCAGGCGTGAACCACCACACCCAGCTGAGCGTGCAGTTCTTCTGGTATATCTGCTGGGTGCTCATGTGAGGTGCTGAGGGGGTTAGGGAACAAGTCAAAGGGGAAAGGAGACATGAAAATCCTTGAATTCAGTAAGTTTTGCCCTGGATGGTGATGGTGAAAGAGGAACAGGTAATGGCAGGTTACTTTGGAAGATGCAGGTGTAGCCGAGCATCATGATAGTTGTTGCTCTGGAAATGGCCAGGGGGCCTGGCTGCCTTGGGGGTGGGGAATGGTGCTCTTGTGCTCCCTGGGCAGTGAGAGAAACAGTGGTGCTTAGGGATGTCAGTTTGCGTGAGGAGGGGCATGGAGGGTGTGTGGTGTATCCTCTGCCAGACCAGTGCAGGGAAGTGTTTGGTTGCTAGAGTTCTTTAGATGGAATATGGTTCTACCTGGCTGGAAAGCCCTAGGCTCTGTTACCCCATCATTCCAGCCTGTTCTTTCCCCACAACATGCCAATTCCTCAATGTTCCCCAGCTCCTGAAGTCCTGAGGTGGGGCCTGGCAGGAAGCAACATGGATGTTTGCTGCAGAGGCTCTGCCCCAGGCACAGATCCCATAACTTATAACCTTCACAGCTCCTTTAGGCAAGTGCTTCAAGTGTTTGAGCTTAAATGTAGCTTCAAAAGGAGGCCGAACTGAACCCAGGCATTTAGAATTTAGAATTTTACCACGGGGGCTTCTCCTCTTTCCCTCTGAGCTTGGAGTCAGGTGGCAGTAGGTGTGATCTGGTAGGAATCTTAAGGACAACAACATGGGGGAAGCTAAGGTGTCATCTGCCTTGAGGCCATCTGGGCACACACCCAACAGTATAAATAGATAGTGGCCTCTTGTCCCCCCAGCCATGTTCCTGCTGACAGGAGCAGGGTAGGCGGGGATCTGTTGTCCCCCTGGGTGTCAGCTGATGTTAACCTGAAGCCACAGTTGCAGAGCCAGCAGCACCCACAGGGTGAAGGAGCTTGCCAGCACTCCGGAGTGCCAGGGCTTTGAGGCTGACTCCCATCCCGAGCACCAGCCTTGTGACATCTGCCCTTGTCAGACAGCTCCCTGGTACTGCACAGCTGCTTTCTAAGGAGGGTTCCTCCAATTTTCCCGACTCGGTACTCATGTACTATTCCTATAGGTAAGTGGAGAAAGAGATGAAGGGAAAGTGTTGGGATTTGGACGTGGAGTTCCTGACCATAGAGGCTGGCCTAGTGACTGGAGGAGGAGCCCCCAAGAGGCCGTGGCCCAGGAGAAGCTGAAATTAGAAGAAGAAAAGAAGAGAAAAGTGAGACAGGGGCAGGGGTGGGGTTGGGGGTTGGTTAATCCCTGAGGCTGGCTAAGCAGTGAGGCCTGGAGGGGCTCTGGTGGAGAAGCTGGTGTCTCCTGTCGGCAGGGCAGAGAGGTCTCTTTATCAGCGGCTGATGGCTGGCATGGTCTTGTTTTTTGTCCACATTCTGCTCCAGCTGGAAAGATTTAGCAGTTCCAGAGTTAATCTGGATAATCTGGCTGACTTGGAAAACTTGGTTCAAAGACGGAGAGAAAAAAGACTGAGACACAGAGTCCCCCCCAGGAAACCTGAGCCCCTGGTTAAGGTGAGTGGGAGTTCAGGACTAGGGCAGTGCACACACCAGGGCTCCAGTTGCAGAGGAAGGGCTTGGGGAGTAGGCACTGCAGGCCAGGACCGCACAGCCAGTGAAATCCACTCCAGAGCCCCCATGGATGTGTCCACCAGGGCTGCCGCAATAAAGTCCCACAGCCTGGACATCCTCAACGGCAGGCATGTGTCACCTCGCAGTCCTGGGGGCTGGAAGGCTAGGCGGAAGGTGTCGGTGGGGCTGTTTCTGAGAGCAGTGGAGGAAGAATCCCTTCATGCCTCTCTGGCTTCTGGTGGAGGCTGGCATTCCTTGGCTTGCAGATTCATCACCCGACTCCGCCCTCATGTTCACTGGGCATTCTGTGTGCATGCTTCTGTCCACGTGTCCCCTTCCATAAGGACACCAGTCACACTGGATTAGAGCCCACTTTAACACAAGTCGTATTGGTAAGGGACCCATCATACTCAGGCATGACCTCATCTTAACTAATTACATCTTCAGTGGCTCTGTTTCCAAACAAGGTCACATTCTGAGGACTTCATGACTTTATATGACTCTTGGGGAGATAACAAGTCAATCCTTAACACACACACACACACACACACACACACACACACACACACACACACAGAGTCTATTCAATCTCTTGGGGTGGGATTAGAATAAGAAACTGCATTAGTACAAGCCAGCAGTGTGCCAGTCCTGGGTTGGCTGTGTAGGACATGCAGGCCAGGTGGTGAAGCTGTGCCATTTTGGGCACCTGTGGCCTTTGGGAGTGATTTGGTCTTCTTTTCAATTGATCT